TATATCTAACTTCTCTTTAAACTCTGTTATAGTTCTAGCTTTCGCAGCCTCCTGCGGCAAGGAGTTCCACAGGTTGACTATTTGCTTTGTCAAGAAGAACTTTCTGTTATTAGTTTGAAGTCTGCAACCCGTTCTTTTCATTTGGTGTCATCTAGTCCTTCTATTATGGGAATTAATGAAGAACTTTTCTTTATGCACCCTCTCCACACCACTCATGCTTTTATAGACCTCTATCATATCCCCCCTCAGTCTCCTCTTTTCTAAGCTGAAAAGTCCCAGTCTCTTTAGCCTCTCTTCATATGGGACCTGTTCCAAACCCCTGATCATTTTAGTTGCCCTTTTCTGAACCCTTTCCAAGGCCAAAATATCTTTTCTGGGGTGAGGAGATCACATCTGTACACAGTACTGAAGATATGGCATACCATAGTTTGATACTTCCCCTCCTCCTTCTTCCCCTGGCTTCCCCCTTCCAGCTCCCTCCTCCCAGGTTTCCCCCTCCCCTCTCCCACACTCTCTCTTCCCCTCTCCCCCCTCCTTTTCCCAGTCTCCCCAGAGATTAATCCTCCCCGCCCCCCCAGTTTTGTTAAATAAAGAGTTTCTATTTTTGAACACGTGTCCTTTATTTTGTACATCAGGAAGGGGGGCTAGGGAGGGGTAAGTGGAAGGAGGTGAGGGAGGAATGGGGCACGAGCCTCCGATGGGGAGGACTGGGGTGGCTCTGCGGGCTCATCGGGGTGAAAACTCTTTTTCAGCCCCCCGATTGACACCCCCGGATGGCAGCCTGTGGCAAGTGCAGCCGGGCTGATGGCCGAGTGCTGTGATGTGCCGAGTGTGGGCACTCAGGGCACTCCAAGCCAGGACTGCTTTGCTGTCCCTCATCGAGGTAGACAAGCAAGCGGGGAACCCTGAGAACTGTCTGTCCGGGGTGGGGGTCGGGTCCCTTTAAGCACAGCCCTCGGCTAGCCTGAGGCAGCAGCTCCATACTCTTAAGTCCTAACCTGATGCCCTGCCGGCACTGCTTCCGGCCAGCCTTAACTTCGGTTCAGGGTCCACTCTATGTGGACATGCTAGTTCGAATTAGCAAAATGCTAATTCGAACTAGTTTTTAGGTCTAGATGCACTAGTTCGAATTAGCTTAGTTCGAATTAACTAATTCGAATTAAGTTAGTTCGAATTAGTGCTGTAGTGTAGACATACCCCAATATATTAATGTTCAACAAATTATGATGATAACTCCACAAGGCATATATTGCGCAAAACATATAATCATATCACAGTGGTGAATATGAGGGTTTGAGATACAATGTCGTACACTGCATTAGACATTTAAAGAGATCAAGAGATATTATAAAATGTTACACAAGCAGTGTAATGTGCAAATTTAGAAAATATTAAATGTGGGATCTCCAATTTAGTTTAAAACCTTTTTCTTTAAATCTTGCCTCTGGTGATTTGTTTTTATAGTTGACTGAAGACAGCGAACATGTTATTAAACATCAGACAGAAGAAGTTGTAGATCAGAATTTCCAGGAAGGTAACTCAATAAAAATACTTGTTTTTGCTCTTGATTGATATTGTTTGAGGAAGATGCTCTTAATTGCCTGAACTGGAACCAATTATAGTTTTATTGGACCAGATTGATATATGTACACTCACACTGAATAATACCGTATTCAATGGGACTTCTTGTGGTGTACAGCAGTGGTTCTCAAACTGAGTGGGACCCGAGAATGGGCCCAAATCCCATTTTAATGGGGTTGTGAAAGCTAGTATTAGACATGAGCTGAAACTAAAACTTGAGCTCAATCTTTATCCAGGGCAGTGGTGCTCAGGCTCTGCCCTTCTCCCCTCACCAGAAGTAGTGTATCTTGGGTTCTGCTCCTACCACCCTCGGAGGTCATGTAGTAATTTTGTTGTGAGAAGTAGGTTGCAAGAAGCTGGAGAACCCCTAGAAGGTATTCACCATGAATAAAGAGATAACAATCTAGCCCTTTGTGATTACATACTTTTCTATATTTTCAGGGTTGTCAAACTAACAATGAGTGAAGGTGATTGCAAAATGTTGAGATTTTAACAAAATGTGAAATACATTGCAAACATTTTAGTCATAAGAGATACAACCTAACCTCCACCACTGACTTAAATGTAATTCAAAATTAAGACCAGGGTACATTTTTAAAAGTAGTATAGAATTTAAATAGTGGATACTACAAAATGGTATAAATTACTCATTTTTATTTCTTATTTATTTTTATTAATTCATCTCTGTGTCAAACTCTAGGTCAGATTATTAAAACTAATTATATTTTATATGAAATTATCCTTTTGTGTTCACCTACAACTTTTAAAATTCATCTTTATGATTAAACTTTTCTTTCTAAAGTTGAATTTGTTTAGAAAGTTTGATCCCAGTTTCCCTACTTCTTTGTTGATTGTAAAGATAAAAAGCATACATATTAACTGACAAATTAATGTCTAAAGCTAAATTTCAAAACATGAAACTATACATGTCTCCTCTTTGAGGAGTAGTGCCTTGTTAGGTTCTAAAAAAGGTTAGTTCTTCTTCGAGTGATGTCTCTGTGGGCACTCCACGGTTGGTGTCGGGTTTGTCCCAGTGCTGCAGATCAGAGTTTTGAACAGCACTCGTGAGCAGGAGTACGCATGCATGGTCAGCGTCTTGCAGTGTTCGTGCCCTTTCCCTCATGCACGTGGTCCAGCTCCTGCCAGTTCCTTTATTGCCTCCCTTGGTCGCAGACAGAGCAAGATCTTCTCCTCAACTGTTTAGTCACAAAAGAAAGTAAGAATTCTCTTAGGGTATGTCTACACTACCCCGCTAGTTCGAACTAGTGGGGTAATGTATGCATACCGAACTTGCTAATGAAGCCCGGGATTTGAATTTCCCAGGCTTCATTAGCATAAAGCCAGCGCCGCCATTTTTAAAAGCCGGCTAGTGCGAACCCCGTGCCGCGCGGCTACACGCGGCACGGGCTAGATAGTTCAAATTAGCTAGCCATTCCGAACTATCTGTACACCTCGTTCCACTCTGGGGCATGGATTTAATCGCAGCTCCCAGCTGAGACATATGTCTCTTTCTCCTCCCCTTTCCTTTAGTGGCTCGGTAACGCTTCTTCATTCCCCAGCCTTATTGGGGCATGCAATGTTTTGGGAGGAGCATAGGAGTGTCTATTCTTCCAGGCATTCATCTCCAAGACGTTCGTACCATGATCACCACAGATACTACCACAGTTACCCACTGTTTTGGACAACTGACCATCACCAACAACAGCCTTCTTATTCTAGACATTAGTCACCCTGTGGCTACAGATCCTCTCACCACAGCAATATATGATCCTTCTCCTCTGTCTGCCCCACCTCATCTCTCTTTTTCTCCACCACGCCTTTGTGAACCAGAAGAAGGTCAGTTATTGGAACCAGATGATCAACAGCCCGATACTTCTTCCACAAATCATTCCTCCTCCTCTCCAGATGAAGCCGTCATCCTGGGGGATATGTCACCTACGGATGATCTTAAACAGTTCCAAGAACTGTTCAAAAGGGCAGCCACTAGCCAGGAGGTCCTAACTGAAGTTCAGGAGAAGCAATATCACCTCCTTAAAAACCTCCAACCCTCTCAGCGATCCAAAACCGTATTACCAATAGATGAGGCCATTATGGAGTCTGCCAAGGAGATCTGGCAGACCTCAGCCTCTGCCAGGCCTACCGATAAGAGGGCAGACAAAAAATATTTTGTCCCAGATAAGGGTCTGGAGTTTTTATTTTCTCACCCTCAACCCAATTCTCTAGTCATGGATGCAGCCCAACACAGGTCAAAGACTCCGCAGTATAAGAATGCTGCAGCTGAAAAAGAAAGCAACCACATGGACCTTTCCATCAGGAAAATATATTCTTCCTCAACACTATTGTTGCGCATCGCCAGTTATGCCACTCTCCTGTTGAACTGTGACTTTGACAGTTACATCAAACTGAGAGAACTAATGGGAGATTTTCCAGATGCCATTCTGAAGTCAATAGTCAATACACATCTGTTAAGACCGGACTTCAGATCACACTGGACGTAGCAGACACAGTGGCTCGTTCCATTGCTACCATCATAGTCATGAAGAGATTCTTGTGGCTACAGACTGCTGGAGTCCCACGAGAACTTCAGACCAAAGTTCAACAAACAGAAACTGTTTGCCGAGAAGACTGACGAGGTCCTCCACTCAAGCAAAGACTCCAGAATCACTCTCCATATTCTTGGCATGTATATACCTCCATACTGCCGCAAGAGGTACACACTATACCAGAGATGCTATGACTTCTTGCACTCGAGATACCAGTAATGCCCATTTGATCAATCCTGGATGAGACAAAGACCTCAAAAGAGGCACACTCAAAACAACTTCATCTCTAACCAGCCATCCAGAAGGCAGCAAGTTTGATGGCCTGGTCAATGGCTCGCAAATCTTTCCTGTCACATACCCACTCAATCACATGGTTCCTATTTTCTACCACCATCTTCACAATTGACTGTTGGGTTCTCGAGATCATTTCATCAGGTTACACCATCCCTTTCATGGCAATACCTCCAACCTCACCACCTTCCCAATCCCTCTTCAGGGACCCTTCTCACGAGGACTTGCTACAACAGGAAGCCACTGACTCTTTGCCATCAGAGTGGTAGAAAGAGTACCAACCAAATTGGTAAAGTTGGCAAAAGCTTCTACTCCAACTACTTCCTCACCCAGAAAAAAAACAGAGGTTGGAGACCTATACTTGATCTTCAAAAGCTTTGAAAAAAGCGGTTCAAAATACTAACTCTTGCTACTATAATTCCAGCACTAGATCACAGAGATTGATTTGCAGCCCTCAACCTCCAAGATGCGTATTTCCACATTATCATCCATCCCACTCACAGAAGGTTTCTTTGTTTTACAGATGGAGGGGACCACTTCCAATATCGAGTTATGCCCTTTGGCCTCTCTTCAGTGCCCAGGGAGTTCTCCAAAACACTTGTGGTGGTAGCGGCACACCTACATCAACAGGGCATTATAATCTTCCCCTACCTTGACGACTGCCTTATAAAGGGTCCATCTGTGTCTGAAGCATCCCACATGATTCTCACGGCAAAACAGACATTCGAGTCCCTTCGTTTGATCATCAACGACTAGAACTCTACACTAGAGCCAACCCAGACCTTGGAATTCATAGGGGCTCATCTCGATTCCACCACAGCACAAGCTTACTTACCTGCGCAAAGGATCCAAGCTGTACAGGACCTAGTTTTCATACTTACTATGAGCCCTACAGTTCCAGTCCTCATGTGTTTGCAGCTCATGGGTCATATGGCGGCCATAATATATATGGTCCACCATGTACAATTGCACTTTTGGTGCCTGCAGCATTAGTTAGCATTGGTGTATGTTCCCACAAGATACCACATCCACAAGCAAGTCACTCCAACATCCACTGTAATAACTTCCCTCAAATAGTGGACTGAACCATACAACCTCCTTGCAGAAATCCCATTCCATCGACCTTAACTGTCCATTCATATCACCACGGATACCTCTCTTATCAGGTGGGGTGCCCATATGAACGACCTTTCCACTCAGGGCCAATTGGCACCATGGGAAACAACTCTCCATATCAACATTTTGAAACTCAGGGCTGTTTTCAATGTCTTCAAACATTTCAGAGCGCATATCTCCGGCACCACAGTCAGAATACTTACTGACAACATCGCTACGATATATTATATCAATCGCCAATGAGGAACCCAATCTTGCTTCCTTCCTCAGTCCACCTCTGGAATTAGTGTGTTTGCAACAAGATCACCCTGATCTCATCATACTTACCAGGAATCAGCAATACTTCTGCAGATGCCCTAAGCAGGCACTTTGTGCAGGATCACGAATGGGAACTCTGACAAGATGTTCTCCTAGATATCTTCTTCCTATGGGGTTTCCCTCAAATAGACCTCTTTGCCTCTTAAAAAAATGTGAAATGCCAATGATACTGTTCTAGGGCCAGAATTGGCAGATTCTCTAGGCGATGCTTTCTTCCTCAACTGGATAGGTCCACTTCTGTATGCATTTCTGCCCATCATGCTCATTCCCAGGGTCCTAGAAAAGATCAACAGGGACAGAGCCAAAGTGATTCTTATAATGCCCTCATGGGCTCGCCAACTATGATTTCCCTGTCTTTATCAGATGTCTCTTCTGCCACCATATCCCTCCCCAAACTTCCCGACCTACTGACCCAGAACCACGGGACCCTTCTTCACCCATGGCCTCACGTGCTCCACTTGACAGTATGGTTCTTCACTAGTTCTCTGACTCTGAGAACTTGTGCTCTTCACAATTCAAACAAGTCTTGATGCATAGTAGGAGGGAGGCCACATGGTCAACCTACCTTCATAAGTGGCGAAGGTTCGTCACCTAGTGCATGAACAAGCAGCTGACCCACAGACAGTGCCCCTACATAAAATCCTTGAATATATCCTATCCTTAAAGCACTCTGGGTTAGCTGTCACCTCCCTTAAAGTACATCTGGCGGTGATTACTGCCTTCCGACTCTTTGTAGATTGCACCTCTGTGTTCGCACACCCAACTACCAAGAGTTTCCTCAAGGGGTTGACAAACCTCAATCTTCCTCACAGGCCTTTACCACCTCCATGGAACCTAGATATAGTTCTGGACAGCCTCATTCAACCAGCCTTTGAGCCACTACTGACAGCACCGCTTCCAATGATCACAATGAAGGTGTTGTTTCTATTGGTCATTACTTCTGCCTGTAGGGTCAGTGGGCTGGCAGCCCTGATGGCAATACCACCATTCACAGTCTTTAACAAGTAGTGTCATCTTAAGTCCTCACCCAGCCTTCATCCCAAAGGTGTGTTCTGGATTTCATATCAATGAACTGATCGTTCTCCCATCTTTCTTTCCCAAGCCTCATACCTCCTCTCAAGAAGCATCATTGCATTCCCTGGATGTACATAGAGCACTAGCCTTTTACATCGAGAGGACTCGGGATTTCCATAAGTCCCAATGTTTACTAGTGTCTCTAGCAGACCATTCCAAAGGAGAACCACTTTCCTCTCAATGCATTTTTCACTTCATAGTTTCCTGTATCAACAACTGCTATGCCATCCAGAACAATCCACTTCCGACAACACTCAAGGCTCATTCTACCAGAGCCATAGTGACATCCACTACATCGAGAGGACTCGGGATTTCCATAAGTCCCAATGTTTACTAGTGTCTCTAGCAGACCATTCCAAAGGAGAACCACTTTCCTCTCAATGCATTTTTCACTTCATAGTTTCCTGTATCAACAACTGCTATGCCATCCAGAACAATCCACTTCCGACAACACTCAAGGCTCATTCTACCAGAGCCATAGTGACATCGACGGCATCCCTATGAGGAGTTCCTCTTCAGGACATCTGTTGTACAGCCACATGGTCTTCTAATGACACCTTTATGAAACGCTAGTCTATAGTACACCATTTAGCCACTGACTCCTCGGTGGCCTCAGCAGTGCTTTCCACAGCCATTAAATCATGACTTCGAGACCTGTTGTTCAGGTGCTCTCGAACACTGCTACAAAGTTACCAACAGTGGAGCACTCACGGAGGACATCACTCGAAGAAGAAGAGGAAGTTACTCACTTTGTGCAGTAACAACAGTTCTTTGAGATGTGTGTCCCTGTGGGTGCTCCACTATCCGCCCTCCTCCCCGCTTTGGAGTCTCTGTTTGTAATTGTCTTTGTTTCAGATACTCAGGTGGATGAGAGGAGGTGGTGGGAGCCGGATTGCATGCACAAGAGAAAGGGTGCGAACGTCATGAGATGCTGACTGACATGTATGGCCCAGCTGACTACTGCTGTTCAAAACTCCAATCTGCGGTGCTGGGATGAGCCCAACACCAACAGTGGAGCACCCATGGGCATACACATCTTGAAGAACTGTCATTACTGCATGAGGTGAGTAACTTCCTCTTTTGACATCGGAGCCAGGAGATTAAATTATTTGAACCTTCTTTTTTGAATGGGCAGTGGAGGGGGGGAGTGAGGTTGAGAAGTAAGATACTGTTTCAGATAAGGGTAGTTTGAATGAATGATGTGTGTTTGTACATTCAGTATAAAACGATTAAACAGACTTCAAGTTGGGCTCAAGAGACCACATATTTTGCTTTTGTTCCTGTAATTATGCCTCAAACCAGCATGTGCAGACATGAATATGGAAGCTAATAATGAGGAGGTCGCTTTCTGACATTTTTTCTGTAAAACTTTAGAAGCCAGTTTGAAAATTTGATCCTAGACATCTGTGTTTTTCAAACACCCAGGATTAAAAAAAAAAAAATCCTACAAATTATACATGCTACTAGATTCTAGTTATATTTTGATGATTCTGTTTATATCTATAACACTACATGATGAATGAATATCTTTAATAAGGATACCATTCTATTCACTAGAAATAATTAATAGTAAATTAATGCACTTCAGAAGAATATATTTTAAAAATAGCAGTATCACAAGAAGGTGTATTAAAATTTTTTTGCTCGACTGTCTTTATACTAGATATTGCTGATATAGAAAAACAAAGGAGTTTAACTGAAGCATTACGAGGTAGGGTGAGAGAGAAACTGAAAACATACAAGGTAATTTATTTTTCCTGAACTTGTAATTTATTGTTTAAGTGAAACATGGAGCAATCTACATTTTGTTTGTGTGTGTGAAAGTGAAAGGCGGAAAGTTCAGTCAATTTAGAAAATTTTTCTTCTATCCCACACTGTTTGGAGCACTTCAGAAATTTAATCGAAAGATCTGTAAACGCTGTAGAAGTTCTGTAAAAGCTGTAAAAGATTTAAGTTCTTGACTTTCTGTGTGCTTTTCAGAACAATATTTGTGTTGATTGTTTCTGTAGAAAATACATATAATACGGATTGAAACTCTCTTAACTGGGACTTCCTGGTCTGGCAGTATCTGTGATCCAGCAACACCATGGATGTTCCAGGACCAGAGAGTCATGGTGGAGAGCTAGTGCCTGGGAGCACAGCAGGCTGGCAGGGCATTGACAGCCCTAAGCATGGGACTGCCCAGTATGGCAGTGGGAACTTGGAACGCAGAGGCAGTGGGGCTGTCCAGCACGATAGCAGGAGCTGGGGTCTGCAGCGAGAGCCCAGTGTGCAGAGACAGTGGGGCTGCCCAAAGTGGCAGCAAGAGCCCAGTGTGTAGAGACAGTGGAGCTGCCTGGTGCGGCAGCAGGAGTCCAGCGAGCAGAGGCAACCAGAGCCAGGCACAGCAGCAGGAGCCCAGCGAGCAGAGGCAGCAAGAGCCAGGCACAGCAGCAGGAGCCCGGCGAGTGGTGGCAGTAGTGCTGCCCAGCGTGGCAGCAGGAGCTCAGTGCATGGAGTGGTGGGGATGCCTAGCAGGAAAGTGAGGGCTGACAGGGCAGTGGGGACCAGTGAGAGGAGAGAATTGGCTGGAAGGCTGTTGTAGGGTCAGAACTGGAGGGGGCTGGTGGCAGGGAGGGCCAGAAATAACCTCCCCTAATCTGGCAAAATCTCTCAGCTGGGATGGGTCAAATCCTAACAGTGCTGGACCAGGGAGGTCCAACCTGTACTATATATCTTGTTTTAGGTTGTACAAGAAGAAAAGTCCGCAGACAAAAGCCTCTCTGATACTAAAATATACCAGAAAAACCTTGATGCGAGGACTGAGGTAATACATTTTACAAATACTGTATGTTTTACAGTATGTCTGTATGTGTCCGTTTGTATGTCCATTTGCTCAAGAATTCCTCCTAAATGGTAAGAGCTAGGACCACCAAATTTTATATGCCACTTCCTCTTCTCCTAACTTAAAGCAAGGTCAGAGTTTGGTTGTGCCAGGACAACTGGAATCTCTGGGAAAAGGACTGTTTTCAATAACTTGCAAAGAGAGGGGCTGCTGTTCAGAGGGATGCGATACTGTAAGTGGTAACTGGGGGCAGTGAGTCCACAGGGGTGAGCTATACTGCAGATTGTTCGCTGTGGGTGGCCCTATCAGCAAGGGAGTGGCCAGCAGGGCTGTGCTCTGCTATCTTGCCTGCCAGCACACCGGTAAGTAGCCCCCCTGCTCAAACTCTTTTCTCCCTTCCTGGCAGTGCTGGAGGGTGAGGGACGGGGGGAAGCTTCTGGCTGCCAGAGGTGGCTGGGGGAAACAGAAAATGTTCCTAGCAGCCAGTGGGGGCTGGGGAGAGGGAGAGGAAAAAGCCATGCTGGATGGGCCCCTCCTCATCTCTCCAACCTTCACTCTTGCCCCTTCCCATTCCCAGCCTCCTGTACTGCCCCCCCCATCCCCAAAGCCCTGACCTAACTCCTGTAAATCCCCCTCCTCCATTGCCAGCCTTCTGCCCTGAAGGACCTGGGCCATGCCGGGTAAGTCAGCTAGTAGTAAATAAAAGTAAATAAGTTAGCAATACACATTATATTCATTTCAGTGCAAAAAAATGGATGATTATGTTTCCAATAGTATCTTTTTGCATTTCACATTTTGTTACTAATTTGTGAGGTAATATAATGCTGTTTGTTGTTGAATCTATTATATATTTGAGAGTTTATGTATTGTCCGTGTCCCCTCTGTCTGTTTGTTCAAGAACTCTCCCTAAATGGTAAGAGCTAAGACCACCAAATTCTGTATGCTGCTTCCTCTTGTCCTAACTTAAAGCAAGGTAAGGGTTTGGTTGTGCCAGGAAAATGGGATGTGCCTGGAATGGGACTACTTCTCATAAAATCATACAGAAAAGAAACAATCACCAGGCAGGTGAAAAGAACTGGCTGGGCAAGCTCCTCCCCCCCCCCCCCCATTTGGAACTGATCCATTCTGGAGGCACCAACCCTCCCCTCCTCCCCCACCAGGGCCTTGTAGGGAGGATAGGTGGGGGCCGAAGCTTCCCATCCCAGTTTGCCTGGGAATATTGCTGCCTTTTCCCATTTGTCAGGGAGCAAGGGGAAAGTGTACAGTTTGCTGCATTCCTCACTTTGACTGGAGAGCACAGAGGGCAGATAAACTGGCTGTGCCCACTGGAGCTTCAGTGGCCATGGACAGGTGCTTGTTAGCTGGTCCCAAGCTATTGTGGTGAGAGAGGACTGTGGTAGCCCTCTCTCCCTCGGGCAGCCTGCATACTGAACCCCTCATTCCCAGCTCCACCCCAGAGCAATGATTTAAATGATGTACATTTTAGTTGTTTTTCCAAAATACAAATTTTCCCCCCTGGATCAGTGGCAGAGACAGGACTGCCTTACATTTTTGGGATCCCTGGTTGAAGCCAAAGCCAGAGCCCCACTGCCTGGGCCAAAGCCAGAGGGTTCAGATTACAGGACCTTTGCATGGGATTGAAGAACTTGGGCTTTGGTATTGGTCCCCCTGACTGGGGCAGTGAGATTCAGGTGGGTTTATTCTTTGGTTCCCCATTTTAGGATTGTGTAGTAATTTTCATTGTCAGAAGGAAGTCATGTTGCAATAAAATTTCAGAACTCCTGGACTACAAGATTATGATGGTCCCTTGTGACCTTAAAATCTATGACTCTCTAATACATAGGTTGTAAATTTTAAACTTTGTTAAATTAAACAATTTCTGTCAAAGATAGTAAAATTATGAGGGCCAAATATTGCAACCTTTATCTGTGGGAGAAGACATTACTATAAAGGTAATTTGTTTGATTTCCATTATAATTTTGGAATTTTGTCAAACGTGATTATATTTTCATTTTTTAAAACAATTTTGAAGTAAAAATGTAACTATTTTCTTTTAATTTTCAAACATTTCATTTAAAAATAATGGGAAAATTGCCACTTCCTTTCTGCAGCCATTACTTATGTGGCAATAAGTAATTTAAATCAGTATAATGTTCAAAAATAACATTGTAGGTGGTAAAACTTAAAAAAATAACAAATAGTCTGGTAGCACTTTAAAGACTAACAAAAGATGTAGATGGTATCATGAGCTTTCGTGGGCACAGCCCACTTCTTCAGATGACCGGAATGATGGATATCTAGAACCAAAATAAATGAGGGAAGAAAGAGGGGGAGAGGGGAAGGAAAAAAATAGGAGGGGGGGACAGAAAGAAGCAGAGGATAGATAAGTATCAAAGAGAAAGTCGAGTATTTATGTAACTGGAAAAACTGGAAAACAACAGATAGTCTGTTAGCACCTAAAGATTAGATAGTTAAAAGAGGCAGATAAGAACCATTTGTTAGCAATTAGAGAGGAAGAAAATTAAAATCAGATTCTAAACAGACATACAAAACCATTGGCACTTTCATTGTTTGGTTTGTTGATAATGTCCCAGCCATCCAGTATCTCGACTTAAACCATTAGCATGAGAATTAAACTTGTGAATGAATTGTAGTTCCAATCCTTCTCTGTGTATTTGGCTTGTGGAGTTGGTCTGTAACAAAACAGCAACTTGGAGATCCCTTAATGTGTGTCCAAGTAAGTTAAAGTGTTCACCAACCGGTTTCTGTATGCTCACTTTATGGATATCTGATTTGTGTCCATTGAACTAGTAACATTAGTTCTTCTTGAACAGTATCTCTATGGATGCACCACTGTAGGTGTGTTTGTATCCCTGTGATACTGATCAGAGAACTTTGATACCAGTGTTTCTTCAGCCTATGCATGTGCAGCCTTCCATCATGCTTGACCACTGAGACTAACTAATACTTCAGTGGGGAGCCCTCCTCTGTGCCTTCTCAACTCCATGGCTAAAGACAGGCTTTCGCTGTCCATTAGCAGATCATTAACTTTTTTACAATTAGTATCATGAGCTTCTTCAGATCTTGTGTGGAGAAAAAGAAGGTGGACCCTCAGAATAAGAAGGGAGAGGCAAAACATTACCTGTCAGTTAGAGTTCTGGTGCTAATGAGGCTAATTGGGTGGGCTGGAAGTGTCCAAAACTTAGCTTTTGATGTCAATAGTGTATTGAATAAAGAAAGCTGGTGTTATAATATGTTAACCAGTTCAAGTCTTTGTTCAAACCAAAATAGCCCTTAGAGTTGACAGAACGGGCTTGGTGGTGTGGACTCATTGTTTAGAAAATTGACCCAATGCAGTTACGTTTGATCTAAATTCTTAGGCTATGTCCAGACTGCCTCCTCTTGTGTAAAAAATATGCAAATGAGGCAAAGAGTGGAATATCGTCGTGCCTCATTTGCATTATTAATGAGGCTCCGTTTTTGTGCAAGAGGCTTTTGCGCAAAATGGAGCTATCTACACGGCTCCTTTTTGTGCAAACCCCCCCTCTGGTGCAAGAGCCATTCTTCCTCTTTTTTTCAGAAAGAACGGCTCTTGTGCAAGAGTGGGGGTTTTGCACACAGTGGAGCCACATAGACAGCTCCTTTTTGCTCAAAAGCTTCTTGCGCAAAAATGGAACCTCATTAATTATGCAAATGAGGCATGGCGATATTCCATGCTTTGCCTCATTTGCATATTTTTTGCTCAAGAGGGAGCAGTGTAGACATAGCCCCAGTGTAGTCCAGGCGTGAGGAGGGTTTGCCTGTGGCAGAGCCTAAAGTATGTGTGTGGGATGCTGCTATAAAAGTTCTTCAATCAGCAAAGCAGAGACATAGATATACCTTCAGTGGAGCACACTTAGGGTATGTCTACACTGCAAAGCTATTTTGATATACCAGAAGTATCCCAAAATAGCTATTCCGTGTCTATTGAAGCAGCCCATTATTTCAAAATAGATTTCAAAGTAACGGGTGGCTTATTCCGACACTCCAATAACCCTCATTCCAAGAGGGTTAAAGGGCATTTCGGAATAGTGAGTTATTTCTAAATTTGCCACTGTTTAGACAGCGCCAAATTACAAAATAAGCTATTTTGAAATACACTCATAATAAGCTACGCAATTTGTGTAACACAAATTGTGTAGCTTATTTTGAGCGAAGGGTGCTGGGCAAACACACCCATAGGAATACACATTATTACTGCCCACGTTGAGTAACTTTTTCTTGTGTCCATCTCCAGTAAAAGTTACTGAAAGTCAAAACAATTCTAGGCTCCTAAATTTGAAATATTTTTTTCTGGCTCCATACAAAATTTTTACATATTTACGCAATAATAATGATTATGGAAGACTCATGTTTTTGCTTCTGATTTGTTTGTTTATTTTTCATCCTTAGATAGAAATCTTATCAGAGGAAGGCTATAGATTTTTTATCATGACTGGTGAAGAAGACTCCAAATTAAAAGATTTGGACAAAAATATAGACCAGGTATAGTATTCTTCATGAAAGTGAAATGAATTCCTTAAAGAATATCTCATGGTTAGCCACTTCTTCTGCTGTATTCTTAATTTAACTAATGTCACTCTCCTTCAAAGATCTATCAACTATTGAAAAGCACCCATCACTGTACTACCGTATTTTAGCGTATATATACTGCACCCGAATATACCCTGCACCTGACTATATCCCGTGGTTTTTGCTATTTGAGTAAAAAAAACCTGTATACCCCGCGCACAAGTATAGCCCCCATGAGAGACTCTGTAGGTAAAAGTAGTACAAAGCACCTGTAATCACCTGTTAATGAGCCGCAGCTGATGATGGTAATGCAGAATACCTGCAATCAACTGTTTATGAGACGCAGCTGATAATGCCAAGAAGTATGGGGTATATAATCCCTTTGAACAACACCACTTTTCCATACATTTGTTCCTTCATTGGTTTAAACTTGTATTTTAGACTTTTAAGCTTTAAAGCTTTATACTTTTTAAACTTTTCAAACTTTTTAAAGTAATGAATTTTAATGTATTTTAATGAATTTTAACATAATTGTCTCTATTATTAAATTAAAATATGCTGTTTTCCTTAAGGAAGAGTCAGTATTGTCTTCCTTTCAGTAAAAAAAACCCTGTATACCCTGCACATGAGTATAGCCCGGGGGGGGGGGAGGGATATGCGAGGCTTGTGAAAACAAATATAACCTGTGGGTTATATTCGCTAAAATACGGTACTTTGTCCGATTTTGCTTTCCACAGGTAACTTCTGTGTTCTTTCATGTTTCCCTAAAAAACTTCCACTCCTATGAATCTCCTCAAAACTTACTTCAGTTAGCTAACTATTAATCATTGATCATGCTGAGGTGTTCCTGTTGCCAGTCTTTTTCACAAGCACAAAAAAGGTTATTTATATAAAAGAAAAAAGTTTACTTCCTAACTCAAATATTTGCTATCTGTAATTTATGTCCAAGAAATAAAACACAATCAAAGTGCCCTTCCAAGAACTGTGTCCCCTCTTGTTTTGTTTCATTAATTCTACTAAAATGTTGATCATGTCTTATTCTTCAACACTTGGTTATAAACTTACCAAGGCAGGAACTTGACTTTTTGTATAAAGTGTAGTGCACATCACTGGCACTATTACTATTAATAAATAATAACATTTGGATTATATAAACAATTATGAATCATATGATTATAAATAATATGGATTTTTAAAGTTGCATCATAGCAAACTATTAGTAAAGCAGAACAAAATAATAGTAAGACTAATCTATCAATAGTTTACTTTTTTCTACAACTAGAGGTCAATATCTATTGGGTGTGTGTAGTTTGAAATAGACAGTGGCCCCAGTTCTTCTTTGAGTGGCCCCCATGGGTGCTCCACTGCTGGTGTCAGACTTGTCCAGGCGCCGCAGATCGGAGACTTGCCATAGCCACGCTCGGCTGGACTGCGCGTGCGCGATCAGCGTCTCGTGTTGTTTGGCCTTTAGTCTGTCATGCGCGGTCCAGCCCCTGTCCAGTTCCTCTCAACCACCCTCGGTCGTGGACGGAGCTCCCTCTTCTCACAGTGTTCCTCAAAAGTATCTGTAAATAGTCAGTAAGTTAATAGTAGTTATTATTTTAGTCTGTTCTCATTATACTTCGTGTTCTAGTTTAAAAACAAATAAACAAAAAAACAGTTAAGTAGCTTAGCTGTTGCAGCCTAACTGCCTCAGAAACAAAACAAAACAAAAATAAATAATAGAAAGAAGACGAGCGAAGGTTTAACCACCTCTGCTAGAAAGGTTTTAAAAAGTGTAGCGTTTGCCGTGAAGCCATGCCGGCTTCAGATGGACATGCGGCATGTATTAGGTGCTTGGGTGAGGCACATATGCCACAAAAATGCACCCACTGTTGTAAACTGACTGCCAGAGCTCGAAGAGATCGAGAAATGCACCTTAAAATGATTATGTTTGACAGGGCGCTTCAACCTTCGGGCGTCCCTGCTTCTGTTACCGCACAAAAACGCAGGGCGTCTTCTCCCAGGAACGCCGTTTCAAAGAAAATAAGTACGTCCCCAATTCGGTCCCTACCAGCTGCTCCAATCAGTAGAGTGAGCTTGGGGGATAGACCTGGCACGTCTGGGACAGTCAGCTCTGGGTCTCGGCAGATGCTGGGCGTTAATCCCAGAAAACTGTCTCTCCCGGCACCGAAGGCATGATCAGAGTTGGCACCGTCGGCATCAGAAAAGCCGCTAAAAACAACCGTGCCAGTGGCACCGACATTCTCAGCACCGGTCTCGACAACATCCCTGCCTGCATCGACGCTCTCGGCACCAATAATGATGCTAACACAGGCACCACCTACTACATAGGCACCCAGGGCTTCGCCGGCACCTGTGGAATTGGAATCAGCACTGCACTCCCCGGCACGAATGAGAGACAATACCACCTTGGCACCGAGAAAGGCCACCGCAAACATGCAGCTCTGTCTCCTTCCCCGGCTTTCTCCCCGGAACTGTCTCCCTCCCCACTACCATGCCAGTCTCCAACACCCATCAGATGAGAGCATAGGGATCACGTGTGTTCCCCTTGGCACAGCCCACCATCTCCATACCATTGACCTCGCTACAGGGTCACCAGCTACAGTGGAAGAAGACTATCTATGTTGCCCTCCCCCTCATCGAGGTGTACACCACATCACCCACGATTGCCAATACGAACACCGCGGCGTGACTATTATATACAACATAGCAATGTATTATCCTCCCGGCGCTCGTCACCTATGCACTCAGAACATTAGTATGGGCACTACCATAAATCCTATTACTATCTGCCTTATCATGAACGTGTGTCACATTCCTACAGGAGGTCTTCTTGCTGTTGTTGATCACCCAGTGTCTGATCTTTACCTCCCAAACTGCAACTATACTCACCTCCACCACTTCCAAAAAGTTCAACAATCCAACCAGAGCAATCGGAACCCGAAGAAGGGCAATTGTCCGAACCGGAAGATCCTCAGTTGGATACATTGCCGTGTGTCACATTCCTACAGGAGGTCTTCTTGCTGTTGTCGATCACCCAGTGTCTGATCTTTACCTCCCAAACTGCAACTATACTCACCTCCACCACTTCCAAAAAGTTCAACAATCCAACCAGAGCAATCGGAACCCGAAGAAGGGCAATTGTCCGAACTGGAAGATCCTTAGCCAGATACATTGCCAACGGACCACTCATCGTCTTCACCAGATGAGGCGGTAATTCTGGGCGATATCTCTCCACCAGACGACCTGAAACAATTTCATGATCTCTTTAAATATGTTGCAGGGAATCAAGAGGTGCAGTTAGGACAGATTCAAACAAAACATTGTCTACTGAAAAATGTATACCTCAGCATAGGGGTAGGATTGCGTTTCCCATCGATGAGGCGATCATGGAGCCTGCAGAGGAAATCTGGCAAACTCCAACATCCACCCCACCAACGAGTAAAAAGGCGGATAAAAAGTACTTTGTTCCCTCAAAAGGACTGGAACACCTGCAAGCTAATTCACTGTTTAATCACCCCCAACCTAATTCGCTGGTGGTTGACACGGCCCAAAGCACCGCAATGTAAGAACAACCTCCCTGACAAAGATAACAAAAAATTAGACATCTTCAGGAGAAAAGTCTACTTGTCATCCACGTTGTTGCTGAGTATTGCAAATTATTCCACCCTTCTTTCCAACCATAAATTCGAAGTTGGTGGAACTCATGCAACACCTTCCAGAGGCGAAAAGACCACTGTTGAAATCAGTGGTACAGGAGGGATATGCTTCATGCAGAGCTGCACTCCAGATCGCCTTGGATGTAGCAGATACGGCTGCGCATGCCACTGCTACAGGGATTGCCCTGAGGAGATGTTCATGACTCTTGTCAGTGGGAGTTCCTAAAGAGCTCCAAAGTAAAGTTGAAGACCTTCCGTTCAACAAACAGAAACTTTTCGCCATCAAGACAGACAAAGTCCTTCATTCAGGAAAGGACTCTCGTACCACTCATTGCATGCTGGAGGTGTATATGCCCCCCTACAGGAGTAAATGGTATTATACCTACCAATGAAGGTACGATTATACATACCACAGACAACAACACCGCACTCTTGAACACCCACGCTTCAGACAACAACCACAACGGAAGCAACCCTGCTCCACTCACTCCACCAACCAGCCTTCTGCGAAGCAGCAAATTTGACTGCTTCATCAAGGATGCGCACAAATCTCTCATTGTCAGCACAGAGTGCAACGCGCCCCTCCTCTTTCACCATCAACTAAGACCATATTACCATCAGTGGGCCAGCATCACCTCGGACAGATGTGTCTTAGAAATCGTAGCATCCGGTCTCACCATTCCATTCATCTCCATTCCCTCAAATACCCCACCACCCTGTCCCTCTTCAGGGACCCCTCTGACGAAGACCTATTGAAGCAAGAGGTCCATTGTCTGCTCAACATTGGAGCAATAGAGAGAGTACCCAACAAGTTCTGAGGAAAAGGGTTTTATTCTCATTCTTTCCTCACTGCCAAAAAGACTGGGGGATGGAGACCCATTCTGGATCTACGAAAGCTAAATCAATACTTTCGGAAACAACATTTCAAGATGGTGACCCTATCCACTATTATACCATCGCTGAACAACGGAGATTCGTTCGCAGTCCTCAATTTACAGGATGCTTATTTACACATTGCAATACATGTGTACACAGACGATTTTTTCGATTTGCAATAGGAGATGAGCACTTCCAGTACAAGGTGCTTCCTTTCAGCCTTGCATCTGCTCCCAGGGTGTTTTCCAAAACCCTAGCAGTAGTTGCAGCCCACCTTTGCAGAACAGGTGTTACAATTTTTCCCTATCTAGACGATTCTCTCTACAGAGCCAGGGTGTTTTCCAAAACCCTAGCAGTAGTTGCAGCCCACCTTTGCAGAACAGGTGTTACAATTTTTCCCTATCTAGACGATTCTCTCTACAGAGGCGACCTCTG